AAATAACATTATTTAATGATTTATTAATTTACATAATGTTATTTATTTATTTTTTATAGGCATTAATATGTAAATGTGGGTGGTCATATGTTAATTTATTTGTGTCATGATTATTTCTGAATGAGACATTTTTGCAGCTTATTTTCCAGCAATTGTTTGTGTATATGTACATAGCATATAAAACAAGAGGCATAGGAACAAACCATAGCGATTTTGCTCATGAATATTAATTGCGCGACATTCGCTCAGTAGTCCTGACTGATTGGCTTAAATGCAGAAGCTTTGTCTTTTGTGTCTTGCTACTTTGGCCAAGAGAAATTAACCCCAATCTCTTAAAAATAAATAATTTTTGCAATTCCATTTGATGACTTTAGGAGTGCAGAAATGACACACTTTGCAGTTGAGGGCTTTTTGGGATCTTTGAAAATGAAGCACATTCTGTTGGCATCTGAACATACGCCCCAGCAGATGCTGCCTGTTGTGAAGATCTCTCTGAGTTTTGAAGATCTCTCTTTCTTTTTCTCTCTTTCTCGAACAATGAACATCTGCACGGCCCAATACGAGCAGCCACCCGGCCTAATGCAAGTCAGTCTCTCCTTCCTCCATTAGTTATTCTCTGTATGTGTCAGTCCTTCATCTGCTTTTGATGTCTCTCTCTCTCTCTCTCTCTCTCTCTCTCTCTCTCTCTCCATCGTGCGTGTGTGTGAATACTGTATCCCGTGGCCGTTTTTGAGGGCTAGAGAGGAAAGACCGAGTGTGAGACGTGTTATAACTGTGTCCTCTTTCTGTACTTCTCATGACCTCCTTCTCTCTTGCCCTCGAAATCTCTCTCTCTCTCTCTCTCTCGTTCTCTGTGTCTCTCGTTCCCCCGTGTGTAACAGTGCGGCGTCACTCTCTGCGTCAGTGTGCCATTACGTCAGCCCTGCATCGCGTCACCGCTGAGGTGCAGATGAGCTAACGTTGCTTTTTCTCTCTCCCCCCTTTGTCTCTTCCTCTCCCGCTACCTGTGCGTTTACCTCTGCCTTACGCCCACTTCCTGTCTCTCTCGTCCAGTCTTCGGGCACCAGCGTGACGGTGGACATCGCGGTGATGGGCGAGGCCCACGGACTGATCTCAGATCTGCTGGCTGACCCCTCCCTCCCGCCGAACACCTGCAGCACCCTGCGGGCCGTCAGTAACCTGCTCAGCACCCAGTTCACCTTCCAGCCGCTGCACCACCGGCCACGCCTGAGCCCTCTGCTGGCCTTCAGCGACGGACACGCCTGCTCCGACTCAGAGGAGGCGCCGGAGAAAGGAGAGAGGCTGGCCATCCCGAAGGTAAGACCACACCCTCTCAGGTAGCAGGATTTGATTGGTAATTGGCCCCGCATTAAAAATATGACTGAGCTTTGCAGCTGTTGCAGCCCCGCCCACTTTTTCCATTTCCGTTCATAGAGATTTTTTTTAAAGGGGTGGTTGATTGCGATTTCACTTTTTTAACGTTAGTTAGTGTGTAATGTTGCTGT